ATTCTCCAGCAAACAGAGCTGGAGGCATTGCTTTCTGCCCATATCCATGGCCTGGTTTGGCCAGAGTTCATCAGGGACCTTTGTGTCCAAATCACCCCCCACAGGGACATGGGCTGGTCCCATATTGCTTAAAGAGAAGTAGAGGGCCCTGTGCTCCAGAGGGCTCCAACTGCTCCATATTTCCCTGGGAGGGGAGTCGGGCAGAACATAAATAAGACAATTTATTCAGAGAAACCATCTCCCCTATTTACATTTAAATTGAATAATTTAAAACACCTTTACCCATTTCCATAAATTATCCCCCATTGGACGGGCAGTCCAACTGTATGGAGGGGGTGCCATCCTGGGGGAAAGGCCTAATTACATTCTCTGCTACAGGGCTGAGGTGGGAGGGGAGATGGGGAGCTGGGGAGGTGGGGATGGGTAGGCAGGCCCAGGAGGAGGGAGATCCAGAGGAGGCAGACGTTTGCTTGGCAATGGTAGGAAGAAGGAGGGTGCTAATAAGAGGCAAGTTCTCTTTAAGAGCTTTACAACTGAGAGGTGAAGGGCAGAGAAGTATCAGAGAAGGTGTTTGGGACCAGCCAAGGACATCTCTCAGTTTGCTCTGGGTCAGCAGTCCTCTGCTTACAGCTCCTACAGATCCAGAGGAAGAGGTGGAAAGAAAAGGTTTCCCCAACACCTGTTACTTGCCAGGGCCCGTGTGGAGCGCTGGGGACAGCAGGGCTGACCAGCCCAGCCCTGCCCTTCTGGGCTTCCGAAAGAGGGGGAAAACCTGCTTCTACGGAGGCTGGGAGGGACAGGATTGGGAGAGGTGGGCGGAGCTAGGCTCACAGAGAAGGGGCTCTCTGGATGGCCCTGGAAGGATGGGCGGATTTAGGGAGGTGCTGGGGAAGGCAGAAGGGTCTTGCTGAGAAGGGACCTGTGTAGAGAACAGGCTCTGAGGGGAGAAGGCTTGGAGTCTAGGGCCTGAGAAAGAGTAAGTTCAGGCGAGGGGAAAGAGGAGTTGCTCAGGGGGTGAGGTGGGTGTTTTCCCTTCACAGCACACTGAGCCTGCGTGGGTAGAGCTGGGGCCTGGCCATCCTCTGTCACTGACTCTGGTTAGGCCTCTGAGGAAGGGGAGCCGTTATAGTGCCCAAGTGCCTCAGTTTCCCTACCAGGTGCCCAGGGAGGCTGCAGGCTCTTTCCAGGACCCTTGAAGCAGAGGGATCTGATTCCTGGCATTCCTTAGGAATTCCTTAGGGCCCTGCAGTCCCTCTGCCTCCGGAATCTCCTGGGTGGTCTCCCTACTTCCCTGCCCTCCTGGGATCACCTCTGTCTGGCCTTCCCCAGAAATGGAGCTCCCTCCAGCTCCCTCCTCCCAATCAGGGTGGCTCTGGCCACAGAGTGGAGCCCCAAATGACTCAGTCTTCTCCCCTATTAAAGACAAAGTGGCAGGTGAATCGTGTGGAGTAGGGGTAATTTGGCTTGGCAAGGGGGACAGTGAAGGAGGCTGGTGACAAGCCCTTTGATGCTTCTGACAGCCCTGGGAGGCAGGCTTGATTAGCTCTGCTTAAGAGATGAGGGGACAGAGGCTCTGAGCTGGAGAAACCAGAATTTGAACTTTGTTCCGTCTGCCTTGAAAGCCCCTGCTGTTGATCACAGATCGATCTCTGTGGCTCACAAGGGTGCTGACCAGCTAGTCACGCTGTGCCATGGGCCATGTTAGCAGATGGGGCATAAACCTCTCTGGAAAAACAAATTAAAGTGGCTGTGCTGGTGCTGAAATCCCTGCATTCCCCTTGCATGTTAATGGAATCTACCCCCAAGTGTTTCTTTGTCATCGCCATGGGCCCTCCTGGGGGAGGAAGGGCACATCCAGCAGGGAAAAATGCCTGCAGGTTAAGGCATACCTGGTCCTTTCTCCCTATTTTCAGAGCTAAGGTTCTTGAAATAAGTTCCTCTATTCTCAGAAAGAGATGTCTCCCCCAGGGGCCTCTAAGCCTGTCCCCAGCAGCTGCTGTCCCCACTGGTCAATCCAGTGGTTTTATCCTCCCATACTGGAACCAGACAGGTGTAGTTTCAGATCCTGAATCTGTCATTTGCTAGCTGTGTGACCTTGGGAAAGTCACCTGCCCTCTCTGAACCTGAGTCTCATTAGGATCAGAACTCTGATGTCTGAAAGTGGTTGTGAGAATCAGAGGAGACTGTGTAGTGAGCTGCATGGCAGAGAGCTCAGCACACAGAGCAGTTGCTCAATAAACATCAACTTCTTTTCTGACAGGTCTGTCACCTGGTGATAAGGTCTTCCCAGCTACCCCTGGCCTTTTCTGGGAGACCTTCCACAGCTGGCTCCCTGTGATGGCCGTCTGAGTGCTTGGTGTCCTTTAGACACTGAGGTGTTTGTTTTGTAGCAATTGACTTAAAGCCATTTGTGTCTTACTCCACTTCTGTCTCATTTTCCTTTTCTGTTACAAGATGCAAAGTAATACTTAACCTTACAGAGGTGCTGTGAAAATCAGGTTCAAAATAACGTGGGTTCAGCACCCAGTACGATGTGAGGCACACGGCCGTCACTCAGCAGGATCACTGTTGCCTGTGGGTGGGTGGGGGTAGGCTGGTCCCCATCAGGTAGGGTCGTCCCTGGTGGAGATGCCTCCTGTCTGACTGTCCCAGCACCCCGCAGAAGTCCCCATCCTGGAGGGTTCAGGCTCCTGGGGAAAAAGTCTGCCTCCCTGCCTTCATAGGCTCTCAGGACATTCCTCTTATGAAGTTGGTAACTGTGCATTAACAATTGATGAAGCAGTTGCAGGTGTGGTTGGGATGACAGTGGAGCTATTTAGGGGTGATTTTCATCATCAAAATAGGGTGATCTTCAAAATAGGGATCTCCTATTTAATCAATAAAGAGTTTTCGAGCATCTAAATGATAGAGCAAAGCAATCCCTGAGTTGCATCCTGGGTTCCTATTTGGGGACTGGAGACGCCTCCAGGTCCCCGCCCAGACATGCCCCCCAATACCATTTTGCACATGCCAACTCAGTCCCAGGGATGGTTAATTAGCCGAGTTCCATCACCCTGGGAGAAGGGGGCCAGCAGAGGCTGGTGTCATGGGGGAATGGATTATGACTCGGACACAACTGGCTATTTGATTTTTTAAATGAATTTCTAATTTCTGACTTCTAATGAATTTCTAATTTCTGTGGGCTTCAGTTTCCTCATAAAACAGGGGATTTGATTAGATGAACCCCAGGGTCATCTGTAAATTTTAGAGTTCAGAATTTTGAGGTCTCACCTGAATCCCTCTTGCTGTATGTGAAGCCAACAGAGACTATAGACTTGGTATAGACACTTGTATGTGGTAGTAAGTGACCAACATCACATTAAGTCCTAGAAGGCTGTGGTTTTTAGTCTTTCATAGTAGAAGAGCTTTGGTGGGATTGTATTCTAATTAAATATTTAAAGGGAGTTATTTGCCTGTTCAAATCACTGCTACCACCTTGGGGATGGTCTCCTTTGTGTTCTTATTTGCAGCTTGTCTGTAAATGGCAGAGCTAAGCCCAGCTGGAAAGCTACCTCCCCCACCCCCAGACCATGTGGGATCCAGGGATCCAAATAGATTATCTGAAGAGCAAAGGAAGGTTTCGGGGCTCTGAAGCTGCCTTTCCTTCTCCACTTCCAGAGCCACTTATGGTACTGACAGCAGGATCCAGGGAATGGGCTCAGGTCCGTGTTTGGGGCTGCTCTTCATTTGGCCTGCTTTCCGAGAGCAGGGGAGAGAATATGTGCTTTTTCTCTATGTTAATAAAATCCAAAATGAGTCTTCATTAAGGGCTCCATTAAGAAGCCACTGTTATTCTTGGCACTCATTAATGTTGCTGCTTACTGCTAAGTTTCCACACTGGTGCTTTCCTGGGGCTTCGCAGGGCCCCCTTCCCGTGCTGGAGAGCTGCTGATAAGAGAGACCTCAACTGGCTGAATCTTAGAGGCGGAGAACTGGGGCTTCCCCAGTCCATTTCATCTATTCCCCTGTCTCTGGACAATTGTCCAACTTCAAGAGCCCCTGGGAGCAGCCTGTGTAAGGGGTTTGCTCTGCTTGGAAGTTCTTATTGTCTAACTGCCCTCTTTCACAGCATTGTGAGCCAATTTGAACCTTTCACTAAGATGATGAAGAGTTTCTTTCTAAGAGCACCTTGCTTTCTTTCTCCTCCTGAGTTCAGGTCCTAGATTAATTTCGGTAACGGATGAAACCCTGCCTCCTTCCTATATCCCTGCGGGAAGACCCATCCCAAGATAACCGCTGTGGTTAAGCATGTCTCTTAGGGTCATGCTCATCTCTCCCCATTTTTGCCCTTCTTCTGTCTCTAGCTCCCATCTTTACTCTTGTTTTCTCCAGGCCTCAGGACAACTGCCAGGCCTTTATCAGGACCTGTGACTGCCTGACGCCTTCCCCCCAAAACACCAACTAACATACATTAAATGCATACTGTGTGCCAAGCACCATGCTAGGTCTTCTATCTCATTTAGCCAGAATCACAATCCTGCCAGTAACTGGTATCATTTTGGAAATGAAAAAAGCAAAACAAACCATGACAAGAAAACCAAAAAACTGAGCCTCAAAGGGATTCAGGTCTTTGGCCACACAGGTGGTTAAAGGTAGAGCCAGAACTGAACCCTGGAGTCCTGACTCCAGGTAGAATGCCCCACCTGCTTCACTGAGCCACCCTTGTCTTCTCCCTTCTTCGGGTCTCAGCATAAGGACCAGCAAACATAAGAAAGGGCTTAGATCCACAGCTGGTGGTTCGCTGCCAATGTGACAAGAAAAAATTAGACTAAGTTCTTCTCTCACATGTCTGAACTTTCCCATTCAAGTGCGTGTTGGTCCTTCCACGTAGCCCACTTGGACAGTTTGCTTATATGCCAATCATGTCCCTTTGTTGGCACTTTTGGAACACTTTTGGAACTCCCCTATGGCATATGGTCTTGACTTTCAGTAAATATTTATCTCTTTTTCAGGGTGAACTGTATCTTTGGAAATACCCCAAAGTCATGTGGATTCAAGTTGGAGGAATCAGGTAAGACACCAAAGTAGGTGATTCTACTTTGGCTCACTACCTTTTAAAACATTGCTCAGTGAAATGTAGTTTAGACAGTCAATGTTCCACAGGTCCCAGCTTATTGCTGTGCAGAAGATTTCTTGAATGTCTCAGAATCTTGACGCATGAAATAAAGCTTGAGTGGCTATTTGATGGGGAAGAGGGGTGAGGGAAGAGTGGACACTGATGTTCAAAACCAAATGGCCCATGAGCTTTCCTCCTCATGATTTTAAGCCACTTTTTGGGTCTGGGGAGTTGGAGTTCTCCTGACAGATGCATTGGTTCTCAGATAGTGGGTCAGCGTGGCTATCAGTGCTGCATGGTCTAAGACACAATACATAGAAATGATTTCTCTTCTGCCCATGACAAAGGGATGGCTAAACCTTTTATGAAACAATTCCTTGTTCTTTTTTTTTTTTTTTTTTCAAACAGGAATCTGTTTCTTTGCCTTAGCTGAGCAATTCAGTCATCATTCTCATTGTTAAGTATCCCTTTCAATGAACTAAATCTTTTGCGTTTTTCAGCATTTCCACTGGCTTCAGGGAGGGCAGGAGAGGGGCTGGACAGTTGCTTCTGGCAATGCCCTGGTTATCTTCTTTTCTTTCAACCTGGTGTGTCTGTGACATCCCATTGTCTTGGACATTATCTCACTTCCATACACTTCTTTGAGCCTCTTAAGTGTCCTCTTTGCAAGCTTTCCATGCCTTAGGCTCCGTTTTTCAGGCTTCAGGAATACCTGCTCACTTTTTAATGAGCCACTTCCTGTCTGCATCAGGCCAGCTGGGCCCAGCTGTGGTAGAGATAGAGAATACGTGATGGGTTGATACATGTCAGTCTCTCGTCTTCTGCTTTCAGGGAAAATCTGTCTGGTGAAGTTATTGTCATATGAAGATTGTGTAGCTTAACAGGGGCCCCTGGAGTTAGGTGCCCTTGCCTTTGTTATTTTAGACAAGTTCAATGAAAACCTTGGAGAATTAACCACCTCTGTGAGCTTCAGTTTTGTCATCTGTGGAGTGGGAGTAGTAATAACTCCATCCTGCGAGGTCATGAGGACCAAAGGAGATGACTCATGCAAAGAGCTTGGCTGGTGGCTGATACAGACTAGAAGCTCAAAAATGAAAGCGTTATCATGATTACCAACTTAATAGTGACTCCAGCTGGCTGTGAGGTAGAGCTGCCTTTGGGCAGGTGAACTCATGGAGTGGAGGGCTCGGGGAGCTGTCCATGGTGCTGCAGCCATTCAGCGGACGTCAGTAAATGTCAGCGATCGCCTATTTTGTGTCTGGTACTCTTCTAAGCACCAGATTCTTTACACAAAGGGAAAGCTTTTTATCTGGATGCCCAGTCAGTCTCACGTGCACATAAGTGAGAGTGACGCGTTCCTGTTAGTAAGCACAGGACTGTCTAATGGGCATGCATATATGTAGGCATTTAAGAAAACATGGTGTGTGTGTGACGTGAGTGTATTTAGTGTGCGTGTCGGTGGGTGCGTGTGTGTGCATGTGCACGTGCATGGGTTGGGGTGGGGATAAATGGTGAATGGGCGGGGCTGAAGTGAAGAAGTGAAGGAGGGGTACTGCTATAATGTAACTCACCTGGGTAAACTAGCTGGTGAGAAGGCCCCAGCTTGGCCACCAGGGAGAGGCTGACTTCCCAGAACTTCCTGGGGAGACTGAAAGGGACACTGGCCCCCATCCCATGCCCCTCCTGGTCCACCAGAACAGAATACATCTGAAGCCAGAGTGGAGCTGCTCTCCTGCAGGGCATTCCAAACTAATTTTCTGGTACATTATACACTTGGCCTTTTGAACAATCAATAGCCTTAAATGCTGTTTGGTTCCTGCAGCCAAATCCAAATGAAATAAGACATAATCCATCTGGCTGAGATGGCCAGAGCAGGAGGGGAAGGAGAAAGAAAGAGGGAAGCTAGAGCTGCCCTGGGGATCTCTGCTTGGCTCAGGGAAACGGGAGACTAGAGGGACCTGCCAGCTCTTGAGGGAATGGGCTTTTAAGAGATATTGATGGCTGGTTAATCACAGCCTCATTTGTCTCAATGCATCCCATCCATAGAGCTGTCACTATAGCAGTAGTGAAGTTCAAGTGGGGAAGGGCTAGGACAAGACACAGGATGCGGGGTTGAGAGTGAGAGATGGTGTGGTTGTCTTAGAATCCTGGATGGAAGGGTCTGGCTTGGGTTTTAGTCTGAGGTTAGATTTGAGACATAATCCCCTAGAAGTTCTGAGATGGCACCAGGCAGGGTATCCCTGGGGGCAGGGACTGTGGTCCCAGAAAGGCTTAGGGCTGCTTGAAGGAGCCCATACCTGGCTCAAGAGATAGTATGGTCTCTGCAGACCCTGTTCTGGCAGAAAGTAGGCTCTGCTCTGGGGCTCTACCTGGCAGAGGGTGGGATGTGAGGATGGGGTTTCTACACAGAGGAAGAGCAGAATCAGCTTCCTTCAGAGCCCCTGCTCCTATAGGGTGGAACTCCTAGGAGGACAAACAGTGAGCATCTTAGGTGTCCCTGATGCCTCTGACAGCCTAGCTGGGAGGACTGCATCCCAAGGACCTCCAAATGTCCTCTGCTTCTTCCTCGCCCTCAGAGCTGTGCCCCACTCAGAGGATCAGATTGAAGGAGTCGAGGCCCAACTCAGGGCTCAACTTCCCCATCTCTTTTAGAAATAGTCTACAGACCATTTAGACAGTCTAGAGACTGGTAGGTGGAGGAGGCAGACCTCCACTGGACCCAAGGGACTGGGTCATTTCCCTTGCAGATGGACTACCCAGACAGTGGGAGAAACAACATTCATGGTGTGAAGTCAGTCATGTAGCGGCACGGTGAGATGTGGGGGAGGCAGGAACACATCTTCCCAAGGGGCTATCTGGGAGTGGTTTACCTGGGGAAGGCATGTAACTGAGGTGGGGTGGGAGGAAGGAAGTGGCACCTCTCTTGCCCTACCATGTACCTGGTGCTGGGGAGTGGGACCCACTCTAACTGCCTATCTGCATCTTCAAGCACTGCGGGGGGCATCTCAGCCTCTGGGAGCAGTTGGGTCGGGAGTGTGGGAAGGCCAATAAGGGACATGTCAAGGGCCAGGAAGCTTAGGGTGGATACAGTCCCAATCCAGAGAGAGCCTCAAAATGAGCAGGCAGAGACTAATATGGGGAGTGGTGGAAAGGTGGAGAGAATCCAGGCTCAGCATTTCCTTGGGCTGCTGGAGGCTTCCCAGCTACTCACGGCCAGGGTCCTGGGACAACTCTCTAGCACTTGGCTCTAGCTGGCCCTGCTCAGCTGGAGGACTGTTCCTGCTTCCGAGGTCCAGGGCAGCTCAGCCTTCAGCTAGCAGAGCGGCAACAATCCGGTGTGGCAGCCGCTCTGTAATAAGGGCGGGGCCTGCACACTTCTCCCGATGGGTAATTATGCTTAGAGCATGTTCTGTGGAGATGCAGGGCTTGTCTGACAAGGCACACTCTTGTTACTCCTGCTGAGGCAGCTTAGGAGCAGAGCGGAGAGGCCAGGGCCTGGAGGTGACGGTGCCACTTGGGGAAACTATCAGGGATAATGAACAGCTGATCCCAAGGGGCACTCGTCCATTTGGGCACCTGTGTTCCTCCCCTGACCAGGGGAAGGAAAGCAAGGGGGTGGGGGGCTCAGCAAGAGGACTCCTTCAACACAGGGAGTGTTGGGGAATGTCATGTACATACGGTAACAGTTACAACAATTGATTGTTTATAATTATTATTATTATTTTTGTTTATAATTATTATAATAGCAGAGACACCAATATTTATATTGTGTTCTATGATTTTCAAAGCATTTTCATATTTTCTTTCGCCATAATCCTTTCACGGAGGGACAGATCTTTATCCCCATTTGAATGATGAAAATGGGAGTGGCTTGGTCACGATCACAGGGCAGAGCCATGTCCCAGCCTGGTTTCCTGACTTGGATGTCAAAGCTCCTTCTCTGTCTCCCAAGTCGGTCAAGATATCCATTACAGCCACTCCTTGGCTCCCTGGTGTCACTCCAGAGGTTCCCGTGTGAGGTGCCCCGTGGCAGGAGTTTTGGGAGCGGAGCCCTGGGTTCCTGCGTTGGGAAGGTCCTGCAGTAGGACAGGCCAGTCACCAGAGGTGGAGTGAAGCTGATCTGAACGTGGGAGACAGTCCTGCTGAGTATTTCCACAGACTTAATGCCCTAGCTGTGCCGCCATTCTGGGAGGGAGCTGTGACATGATTGTCACCTGTGTGGGCAAGTCTGCTTTAAAAGACACTGCATGACAAACAGCCGTTCCCATTGCAGCACCCATGTGAAAATGGTGCCAAGGAACACCTCTTGGACTCTGCACTGAGAATCTGGGAACCAGAAAAAATGACAGGATTGTTCTTTGGGGCTGAGGTCAACCAAGGAGGGCTTCCCGTCAGAGCAGTTCTGAGTAGAGTCTGGAAGGAAGCAGATGACAAGTGCATTAGAGGCAAAACAGAAGGCCTGGAGTGAAGGGATAAAAAGTTTGGGATGGTGAGCCTGTTAGCTGGGATGGGCCTAGAGGTGGAGCACGTAAGTGGGTGAGGGGTCTGGAGAGCTGATGTTGGAGACAGAAGGTCACAGGTGAATTTGATAAGCTAGAAATTACAGAGACACTGAGGATTGTTAGATGGTAGGAATAAGATCAAAACAGAGTGTGGGATGCTTTGCAAAGCTTTGTGTAGAATGAAGGTTGGATGCAGAGAGGACAGGTGTGGGCAGGCGAGCCCCCGAGATTTAGCCATGTCCCATTCTGAGCTGGAGTTCAAAGTGCTGACTGTGGAACGTGGAATTCTCGGTGGCTGCAGGGCTTTAGGACCCTCTGCACATTCTGACCCAAGTTGGACTGTGTTCTGGAACTTAGCAGGATGGAGGGCTCCCACACCCCATTGCCCTGCCCCATGGCGCCTTCCTTCCCCCAGCCGGGACTCAGCCTTCCCTCTACAGGATGCCAGTTCAG